ATGCTGATCAAACCAGCGATGCCGTTCTATCTCACAAATCATATGAAACAGAGTAAGCCAAAGCAGTTTCCTTTAGAGTAAGCGAATAAAAAGACATAATATGTATATCTTACTCTCTTGCTCGCGATTTTGGACCAGATGTCTTCGATTTTTTTTTGCCCCCAATGGTTGTTTAGCATGTCCAGTCTATATGTTGTTTGGTAAGTGATACTAGTGAGAGTCATATCTGTGAGTTTGACAGCAAAAATGTATTCAAGGTCGGTGTGGTCAACAGTGCTGGAGTTTATAACGTGTACTTCGATACAGTGACCGTGAGCATTAGGTTACTTATTTCCGTAATGAGCATTTTATTTTTTACGAACAGGGTCTTGTAAATGTGTGCAGTGTCAATCTGCTTTATTTTTGTAACTTTTAATAAATGGCTGAGAGTGCCTGTTTATTGGGCACGCCGGCGATCACCTGTAAGGCTGTCCCCAATAAATGGAGACTTCTTTCCACTCTAGGCTTTGTAAGTGTCTGGTGTGTAATTGAAGCAGTTTCCGCATGCGAGACTATGGAAACATGCATGTTAGTTTTGTAGTCTCATTCGTAATTAGTCAACAGTTGGTTAGGTTCGCAGAGAAGAGAACGTCGAAAGTTTTCCTATTTGTAATGGAGTGCACCGGTTTATTGCACTCCGCCGTAGCCTGGAAGATAATCGTTTGCTCGATTCTCCTGTGTAGCTTTATCAGTATCGCAATTATAGAAGAGTGCGATGAAACCCCTCAAATTGGCCATTCGATGTGCTACGGAGGTGGTATTCGTAAAATTTATATTGTGGCAGGTCTTTCTTTTCCATTGGAAACGCGCTTCCTCTAGAACAATCTGATGTTTGAAGCAAGTTGAAGCGATTCTTGTCGTCTCAATAGAGTACGTCAGGGATACCTCGCAGTGCATTGTAGCCGCGCGTTGTTATTTTGGCGCGACGACGCATGGACAGTTTCTCTTTGGCTCCTTGCATAATATATTTGCTCCTGTATCGATGCGAGCTTTCTAGCGCTTAGTCTTTTCGTTGGGGTTAGTGGCTAGTTTCTCATGGTTGTTATTTGCGAAGTTAACTTTCCTGTCTCTCTAGGAATTGTTTTTATTGGCCGCCCATTTTGAGAAAGCCAACCTCAGTACAAAACATGCATTCATATATCTACAGAAATTTGGGATAGGTCATGATCAGCGCTAGAAATCTAACAAAATTAATTTTTTGTTATCTAAAACCAGAGCAGTGAATCACAATACATATATTCATATTTTGATGTACTTATGCATGCATAATTCACGCATACTGTCCAAACAGAAAAGTAAATAGCAATAAAAAAAGAAGCGCCCTTTGTAAAAATATATAGTTCTTAAATTTTCCTGTAAAATTAATCTTTAGTATCTAGGGTAATATATCATTTTAAATAAAGCATGCATTTCATAGATAACGCAAAATCACTTTGCGCCGATCGTAGGCTCAAAACTTTTTCATTCAATGTACTTCGAAAACGAAGCGTGGCAAATCACCATCGACCAGCTTTGCTGAAGCAGGCTTGCGACTAACTTCGTTGTTCGTGTCAGCATCAGCAAGCCGCGACTTCCGCATTCGAACAGCCAGTTGGCTTGCAAGTCGTGCGAAATCGTAAATGCCAGTTTAGGAAGCCAGGCTAGAAATTTTGCGTCGCATGCAATTGTAAGGGCGTTACTCATCTTAGTGCTTACATTGTCTTTGGTCTTGCCATGTCCTCCATGTCGTAGACTAAATGCCTAAAATTGACCTGACCTCAAAAAGAGTTTGTGGCTCGTACTGCTGAATGTCTTTAACCTTTTCGTTGCCCCCAAAAATTATCGGGTGACGATAGCTATGCTATGAAAGATACTTAATATATTTCTAAATATAAAACTGTTTTTCTTGGCTGACTTGACCCAAACCGTAAGAGCTAGGAAGCTGAAAATTTCACTGTAGTTACCTTTTGTAATGAACGTGCACGTTAAGGCTGGGTTTCGGGAAATTCGACGCGGAAGTATGGAAATATCGTGAAAAACGTTTGTATGAAATTTTTTTTGTTTACCATTCGATCGTTCTGAAACTAAATTTCAAAGTTCTTTGTTCAAATTCATTTGAAGGATGTTTCACACTTTTTCAAAAATGTGTTCCTCCTTGGTGGAAATGGGGATCAAAGATTTGGTGGACGACGTTTCGCGCTCAAATTCATTTTCAAGGATCTATATGAAAAATCATTTTTCGCAGAATAAAAGCATCCTCGGTAGAAATGCGATTCTCAGATTTTTTTGGTGCAGCTCTAAGTTTTGTGCTATTTACCTCAAACTTATTTTCAGAGCTCTACATAAGAACTTAATGAATACGTGTAGTAGCGATTTGGAAAATTCCACCCGAAAGTATGGGAAAATCGCGAAAAACGTTTGTATGAATCTTTAAGGCGTACCATCCGATCGGCCTTTAACTCAATTTCTAAAATCTGTGTTCAAATTCGTTTGAGGGGTGTTTCACACTTTTCCAAAAATGTATTCCTCCTTGGTATAAATGGGGGTTAAAGATTGGTTGGGTGACGTTTCGCCCGCAAATTCATATCCAAGGATAAATATAAAAAATCATTTGAGACGTGTTTCACATTTTTCGCAAAATCCAAACCTCTTCGGTAGAAATGCGATTCAAAGATTTTTTGGGCGAAGTTTTAAGTGGATCCGATTTGCTTCAAACTTATTTTTAAAGTCCTACATAAGTATTTAATGAATACGTGTTTCAGCGATTTGGGAAATTCCACCCACAACAGTAGTTAATTAGCGAAAAACGTTGGTATACAACTTTTTGCTATCTATCGGATCGGCCACAAACTTATTTTCGAAGATCTTTGCCCAAATTCATATGAGGGGTGTTTCGAACTTTTTGGAAAAAACAACCCTTCTTGGTGGATATGGGTGTCAAAGATTTGTTGGGTGACGTTTCGCGGAATCAAATCATCCTCGGTAAAAAGTGCAATTCAAAGACTTTTTTGGTGATGCTTTAATTTTTTTCCGATTTGCTTCAAAATTATTTTTAAAGCTATACATAAAAACCTAATGAACCCGTGTTTTCACGATTTGGGAAATTCTACCCGCAACAAAGGTTACACGTTTAAATGAAAGTTATTTATTTACCGTCTTATCAGATTCAAAATCATTTTCAAGATTTGCTGATCAAGAATATATATACTTTCTGGGGTCGGAGATGTCTCCTTCTATGCGTTACACATTTCACGACAAAATTATAAGGGTAATTATAAGGGTATAACAAAGAAAAATAACTTCAACGATCAGATTTAAGGTAATGTATGCCATGAATGCTGATTTTTCATTATGGCAGGTGAGATATCATTTTTTTCTTCGAATAAATCCCCTTAATATTCAACTATAATATTGCATTATTAATATTTAGCTTTTAATTTATAAAACCTTTGAAACATAAATGTCCATTATAACAGGTAGTATATTATAGTTTTAATCTAATCGAACCAACAACGGATCCAAGGCAGAGATTCATGCCTTTGAAGATTGTTACAGATTAAAACTTGAAAAGGGTCTGAGAGGAACAATCATTAATGTCTTCTCGGATAGTTAAACTCCAATTCGAACTCTAATTACAAGGAATAACCTCGAAACTTGTAGTAGACTGTTGGAATTGTCTCCAGCATCTCTACATCCACAAGTACCACTCAGTTGGGCCGCTGTAACTGCGGTATCTTTGGCAACGAATTAGAGAGCGAGCTCGCAAAAGCCGGGTCAATATCTACTCTAATTGGCCCAAAGTTTTTCTGGCGGATTCAAAGAAGTAGAGATTATTTGAACTAGCTGGTCGCCTGTTTGACAAGGCACCACACAGTAAAATATCATCTCCAGCCTCTGTCTGAAGGAAGACGAAACGGCTATTCACATTCTCTGTGTGTTTTTACTTGGGGTAGGAGGAACAATTTATCTCCCCAGCTCAGGTCAGAACGCTTCACTTAGTAAAAAAATATTTTACCGCTCCTGCCAAAATTACAGAGCCCCAGACAGAATAAAAAGTCTTGTATTAACAAACATACAAAACTATTATTATATATATATATATATATATATATATATATTTTTTTTTTATTTTTTTTTTTATAATAAATACTATAATAATTACAAAATTATGCAAGGTTAAAAGTCCCCATACAAAGTACTTACGTATGTATATGCTTATGTATATTTACAAGTGTTGTTTTATATGTGTTTACGTTGCCTGGGAGTGTATAACTGTAAATTTAACAGTATATACAAAACATTTTCTTGTTTCTTTTTATTTTATAAACTTTTTATATAATTATTTCACATTTTATATGCTATAATATTACGACTATAAAATTAAATTACACTCTCACTTTTTTATAATGTAAGAGTATATGTTTGCCTTAGTATTTGTAGATACATACATTTACGAATATAAAAATATTGCACTCACACTTTTTCTAAAATATAAGAGAATTTGAACCAATTCGGTTGTTTGCTTAAATTCCAACTTATAAATTGCTTTTAAATTTTATATAACATTTAAAAGACCTTTATGTTATTGTAAACACTTTAACCCGTTATGAGTAGATAACCAAGCTGAATGAATAATTTCAGAGAACTGTGAGACATATGCAGGTAATCACATCTTGCTTTTCTCTAAAGCAAAAAGTCATAGAGCGCAAAATAGCAACCCCTAAAACAGCTGATTACCATTAAGTGATAGCAAAGATACATATTAAGTTTCAAAATTTTGGATTATAGTCATATTCTTTTATCGAATCAAAAAAATCGATAGGTATTAAAACCGTGTTTTTTTTTTAAATATTTCTTTTGTTATTATAAATTTATTATACGTATATTTTCAAAATTAAAATTTATTGATTTGAATGACCAATTAGTAAATATTACGTTAACTTTTATTTAAAAACAATATCTGAGTACTTATACCGACTTACGTGCAAACTACGTAAAAATGTTGACAATTGTGACATTTAAAAATTACTTGTATTTGTATATAATGCAACATTGATAAATTCAGGATCTGTACGAAAACTACCACCATGGGTGCAATTTCGGTTACAATTCATGTTTTGTGCACATGCGCACAATGAAAAACATTTTATTATTAACGATTAAAAAAAAGTATTAAATAAATATCGAAACAATTATGAAAGTGGTGACCTGTTTAGTATTAACTAATTTTGGTTTTGTTGGTCATAACGACTGAGTAGAGTATAAATGCAATTACATACATACATATGCTTGTACCAGAGACTTGAAATCTATATACATATATATGTATGTATCTATATATATGGCACAGATTTATTGTTAAAGCTACCAAATTGGGAATGCATTATTGCATTTGGTATTATCGGCAGCGAAGATATTTATTTATAAGTTAGTCTTACATCGATAAGTTGGTTGGCAAGGACTCCTAGGCTCAAAAAGCGGGAGTGTTGCAATGACAGAGCATTGGCAATTGTCCGCCCGATTCGTTCAGAGAGATGAGAAGGGCATGAGCGAATAGGGAGATGCCCTTGACCTTTTTCTAGGCCGTTGACTGATATATGCAGCTGTACAGTTGGGCAGCTTTGGTAACCACGGTTTTGAATGTACATATACGTGTGCCAAAATTGGGCATCGATCACGTTGCTGCCAGTTCAATTTTGGTTGCCATTATTTTGCGAAAGCATAAAATTTAAATGTTTTTAGTTTTTTAATTCTGTAAAATCTTTGGATAATGTTATTTAAATAATTTTTATGGCATTTAGCTCTAACGAAAATAAAGAATCGAAATAAATCAATTTTAAGAACATTTATATTCAACTAAACCCAAAAAATTAGTTTTTGTTTCGTAAGTAAAAACACTTTATTAACATACTGTGTGTACATATGTACATATGTACATATGTATGTATATTCTTGATCAGCATCAATAGCTGACCGTATGTATGTACATACATATGTAAATAATCTATAGAAATCCTGTTTTTGAGCAAATCTCTTAGATTTTTCACTTAGAATCACCAAACTTTACATGCAGCTTCTTGAATAGTATACAGCTGTGAGAAAAATGATAGTACCGCTACAACACATTTTGTTCTTTATGAAAAAAAATGCGATTACTGTTCCGATTTTTTTGAAATTTCATTTGTTTTATATTGTTTGGTATTCCCCATAAACAAAAACAGTGTTAGCGTTCATCAAATTTCTGTCTATATTTTTTTTGTTGCGATTTTAAGAAAAAAACCCCAAAAATGCAAAAAAAGCACCATTAGCCCTTTTCTTAGCGAATCCTCGTTATATCGCGGAATTGCCTTTGCAGAATGAACGTGCTTATTAGTTTTGACTAAGATATCATTTAATAATAATCATTACGATGGAACGTGGAATGCACTGCACTGCAGTAAAGCGCGGTCTTATCAAAAAATTGGTATTGGACGGAAAAACTCACAGAGAAGTCGGTCAATTTGTAGGATGATTCAATAAAATAATTAAAAACGTCTTAAACTATCAAAAAAAATATTGAAACCCGCGGACGATAACGATCTATGAATCATCTTCATGTCAAAAGACTGATTCGTCAGAAGAAGAAGGATCTCTTCAATCCTGCTACCGAGCTTTAAAAAGAACTTAACATAAATGGGACGGAACAAACAATTCGCTAATATCTTAGGCAACATAACCTAAAAGACTGCAAAACAAGAAAGGTACCACTTTTAAAACTTTTATTACTAAGCGCATGAAGTTTGCCAGTTTGGATATCCCAACAATGGAGGAATATTCTATGGTCAGATTAGTCCAAGGTGGCTATGATTGGTGGAAAGAGATCTCTATCATACGTAAGACATCCAAGGAACACAGAAAACAAACCCTAGTACACCACAAAACCCATTAAGCATGGAGGGTGTAGAGCAATGGTATTGGCCTGCTTTTCCTACTATGGAGTAGGTCCAATACATTGGAGAAAACCATCATGGATCAGCACGTGTATATGAATATCATGGAGACAGTTATGCTACCCTTTGTAGAATACAAAATGCCCCTCGTACGGGTCTTTCAACAGGACAATTACCCCAAACACACCAGCAAGAAAGCAAAGGAATGGTTCAGGGCAAACTCTGGGAACGTTGTGGAGTGGCCTGATGGCCCAATGGGGTAAATATAAACTAGTAAGACGTCCTAGTTGGGAGCTCCCGTCTAGGGGATACCCTGAACCCTCTTCTTCCAACATCAAATACATATATATATTCTATTTTAGAAGCTATATGTCAAGTTTGGTGACTCTAGCTTTTATTATTTACCAAAATTGCCCAAAAAAGAGGAAATCGATATCGTTATCGATTGCTTGGAAACGGAGTAAGTTATCGATTATCGGAGACAAACTCGACCTGCGCGGGAACTAGGAGCACCTACATCTAAAATTTCTCTCTAGCTCTTATAGGTTCTGAGATCCTTGCGTTCATACTTACAGCCGGACGGACGGACATGCAGACGGACATGGCTAGATCGACTCGGCTATTTATGCTGATCAAGAATATATGTATATACTTTATGGGGTCGGAGATGCTTCCATTTTAATGCTTCCCATTTTTAATGGGTTCAGGGTATAAAAAACACCACACCACAAAAAACATGACACGTTGTGGCAGACCGCGTAAGACAACACAATAAAATAATCGTTTTATTCTACGGCAATTTAAAAACAAGTTAGAGGTTCTAGTCGGGAGCTCCCAACTAGGGGATACCCTGAACCTTCTTATTCTAACACCAAATAAATGAATAAAAAAAAGTTCCCTTGGCAGGACTCGAACTCGCAACTGACCGCATTACTTGCTGTCGACTCTACTCAACAGCCACACCAGCAAAAAAAAAATATAATACTTTCCCCGGTAGGGCTCAAACTCGCGACAGACCGCACCACTTGCTATGCCCCTACTCCGCAGCCACACCAACAATTAAGTACTTATGATAAAAAAAGAAACTAAAATAGCATTACAGAAAAAAATCGCAATTACCATGCTGTTAGAATGCGAAGCAGGCGCGCTTGAATGTGTGTGTGTACATGTATACAGAAATTCTTAAAGCTGCTGCCCCATTCAATTGCGCAGTTCCATATAACATTGGTTTTCTCTTAACCGATCTAAATGAAATTATCTACAGTATATCTAATTGTACCATAAAATATTTGTGTTTTCTCAAAAAGCAAATTGCATTAATATAATGGCTTAGATTGGTTGGCAATATAAATTGTGTTATTAACTTCATTTATAGCTCTGCGGTGGTAGCGGGGAGGTGACGATATGTATATGTCGGAGCATTGCTATTGTTATTGTTATTGTTATTCGAATTTAAGTACAGCAACATGAATATTGTATGAGTCGAAATTTAAAGAAAGAAGAATAGAGAAAACAGAGTAACTGTCATTGTCGACTTGTATTTCTTATATCACTGAGAGTCGGTGAGAGGACTAACTGTTAATTCTCTCACTGAGTGAGACCCGTGCATAGAGTTGTTGGTGTGCGTGCAGTTCATTGTAAGCTGATTCGTGTAAGGACACGAAGAAAGCGCTGCAAGAAGAAAAAGCGGTTACGGCTGGTTTTCGTTGCGTTGCAAGAAGCAAAATCGGTTACGGCTGGTTTTCGATGCATTGCAAGAAGCAAAAGCGGTTACCGCTGGTTTTCGTTACTATTCGTGGCGTTGCGAGGCAAAGGATTGATGTGAACAGACAGAAGTAAATGGTCTGAGCGAACGGACGTGATTGTGCACTGTGAAATTTAGAAAAGAGAAGCAAATGCCACCAACAAAGATGCCGGACTCGCTGCTCAAAATGTAAAAAATTCTGACCCTACGGCCGCTTCGACATCAGAAGTGGGATTGGATCCTCCTAACTCTCAGTTGTGTCAAATTTTGGAGCAACAAAATAGAAATTTTATTGAGATGCTGCGAACAGTGCAGGCTAACGCAGCGCCTCGTGAGTCAAAGACGGTGTTTTTACCCAAATACAACCCCGAAGCTACCGGTGCTGATGCATGTGCTTGGAGTATTACGGCCGATATAATTTTTATTGAAAATCCACTTGAGGGTTGTGTGCTCGTGGTTGCCCTCAGTAAAGCTTTGGAGGGCAGTGCATCGCAATGGCTTTCACAAATCTGTTTTCCTGGCATGACTTGGGTTGAGTTCAAGCAACTTTTTACGCAAAGATTTGTCGGCGTAGAGACAACCACAGCAACATTTCTTAAGCTGCTAGACGGACGCCCAGGGACTGGAGAGTGCGTCGTATGCAAGCCGACTCGTCACTTCGTTAATGACGAAAATGAAAAATATGGAGCTGGAGGAATTGTTGGTGTCAGTTGTGCTTGCGCATACTGCGCAATTGGACAGCAGACTAAAAAAGCTTGTGTGCACCACAAACATCAAATCGCGAAACGAATTACAGCAACAGTTGCAGGTATATGAAATCGGGCAGAGTCAAGAAACTTCGAAAGCAGAAACTACTGTGGGACCTGAAAGGAAGAAGCAGAAGTTTTCAAACATCGTTTGCCATTATTGTGGAAAGACAGGGCACAAAATCGCAGACTGCCGCCAGAAGAAAAATCGCGAATCACAACCATTGGAAAGCGGGCATGCTGGACGTATTGGTATGAGGCCAAAAGAGCAAAAATCCAACGTTATATGCTACAAGTGTGGACAGGCTGGACACATTTCCACTGGGTGCCCTTCGGTAATGGAACCAAAAGGTGTGCTCGTTCATTCTGGTGAGTCCGTTGATTTTTGTTTTGACTCTGGAGCCGAGTGTTCACTCATTAAAGAAAGCGCAGCTGGAAAATTCTCTGGAAAAAGACTTTTTAACGTAGTAATGCTTAAGGGTATTGGAAACGATTCTGTATGCAGCTCCACGCAAATTTTGACCAATGTAACCATAAATGACTTTATTTTGGAAATGTTATTCCATGTCGTTATGGACAAGTATTTAAAACACAATTATAAAGTAAAGCTGATTAATGTTGTTACTGAACCCAAAACATATGAAGAATGTATTAACCAAAATGTAGAGTTAGACGAAGCTGACAAGAGCCGTTTAATAAACGTTTTTAACCATGGAACATTTTATCTCTGGCGTTCCAGAGAAACAGGTTAACACAGGCCAGTTGGAAATTCGGTTAATAGATCCAAATAAAACGGTACAAAGGCGACCATATAGGCTTAGTGTAAATGAGAAGTAAACTGTTCGCGAAAAAATTAATGAGTTGATGGCGGCAAATATTATAAGACCGAGCTGTTCCCCATTTGCGAGTCCGATTTTATTGGTAAGAAAGAAAAACGGAACTGATCGCTTATGCGTCGACTATAGGGAGCTTAACGCTAACACAGTTTCGGATAAATTTCCATTGCCTCTTATCTCCGACCAAATTGCAAGGTTACGTGGGGGTAGGTATTTTTCTTGTTTGGACATGGCCAGCGGATTTTACCAAATACCTATTCACCCAGATTCAGTAGAGCGTACAGCATTTGTAACGCCAGAAGGGCAATTTGAGTTTTTGGCAATGCCGTTTGGTTTAAAAAATGCTCCGTCGGTGTTTCAGCGGGCAATAATAAAAGCGTTGAGGCCACTTTCGTATTCGTATGTTGTGGTTTACATATATGATGTATTGGTCGTGGCCGAAACTAAAGATGAGGCAATTTCAAGATTGCAGAAAGTCATAGAAATTCTTATTCAAGCTGGATTCTCATTTAATTTCG